CCTCGCCTTCCCCAGACACCCCTTCCAGGGCTCCAGCAGAGGCACCGACGCATGCAGTGTATCGGGAGCCCTCCCTCAGCAACCTCTGTGAATTTGGAAGCATTCTGCCAACCGCCCAATTTTGCCACTTTCGGAGTCGTGACCCGCGGGTCAGCATCTCGGGCCTCTTTTCGGCATTTTGGACAGATTTTGCTTGCAGTCCCCAGACACCCCTTCCAGGGCTCCGGCACAGGGGCCGAGGCATGCAGGGTATAGGTAGCCTGCCTGCAGCAAACTCTGTGAAATTGGAAGCATTCTGCCAACTGCCCAATTTTGCCACTTTCGGAGTCGTGACCCGCGCTTCAGCATCTCGGGCCAATTTTCGGCATTTAGGACAGATTTTGCTCGCCGTCCCCAGACACCACTTCCAGGACTCCGGCAGAGGCACCGACGCATGCAGGGTATCGGGAGCCCTCCCCGAGCAAACTGTGTGAATTTGGAAGCATTCTTCCAACAGGCCAATTTTGCCACTTTCAGTGTCGTAACCCGCGGGTCAGCATCTCGGGCCTATTTTTGGCAGTTTGGACAGATTTAGCTCGCCTTTCCCAGACACCCCTTCCAGGGCCCCGGCAGAGTCACCCACACATGCAGGGTATCAGGAGCCCTCCCTCAGGAAACTCTGTGCAATAGGAAGCATTCTGCCAACCGCCCAATTTTGCCACTTTCGGTGTCGTGACCCGCGGGTCAGCATCTCGGGCCTTCTTTTGGCATTTTGGACAGATTTTGCTCGACTTCCCCAGACACCGCTTCTAGGGCTCCTGCAGAGGCACCGACGCATGCAGTGTATCGGGAGCCCTCCCTCAGCAACCTCTGTGAATTTGGAGCATTCTTCCAACCGCCCAATTTTGCCACTTTCGGTGTCGTGACCCGTGGGTCAGCATGTCGGGCCTATTTTCGGCATTTCGGAAACATTTTGCTCGCCTGCCCCAGATACCCCTTCCAAAGCTCCGGCAAGGCACCGACGTATGAAGGGCATCAGGGTCCCTCCCCGAGCAAACTGTGTAAATTTGGAAGCATTCTTCCAACCGCCCAATTTTGCCACTTTCGGAGTCGTGACCCTCGGGTCAGCATCTCGGGCCAATTTTCGGCATTTCGGACAGATTTTGCTTGCCTTCCATAGACACCACTTCCAGGGCTCCGGCAGAGGCACCGACGCATGCAGCGTATCGGTAGCCCGCCCTCAGCAATCTCTGTGAAATTGGAGGCATTCTGCCCACCGCCCAATTTTGCCTCTTTCGGAGTTGTCACCCCCAGTTCAGCATGTCGGGCCTATTTTCGGCATTTCGGAATCATTTTGCTCGCCTTCCCCAGACAACCCTTCCAGGGCTCCGGCAGAGGCACCGACGCATGCAGGGTATCAGGGTCCCTTACCGAGAAAACTGTGTGAATTTGGAAGCATTCTGCCAACCGCCCAATTTTACCACTTTCGGTGTCCTGACCCGCGGGTCATCATGTCGGGCCTATTTTCGGCATTTCGGAAACNATTTTAAACAGGTTTTGCCAACATTCCCCAGACACCTTTTCCAGGGCTCCGGCAGAGGCACCGACGAATGCAGGGTATCGGGGGCACTCCCCGAGCAAACACTGTGAATTTGGTAGCATTCTTCCAACCGCCCAATTTTGCCACTTTCGGAATCGTGACCCGCGGGTCAGCAGCTCGGGCCTATTTTTGGCATTTTGGACAGATCTGTCTCGACTCCCCATAGGCCCCTGTCAGTGCTCCGGCAGAGATTCCGATGCATGTAGGGTATCGGGGCCCTCCTCGAGTAAACACGGTGAATTTGGAAGCATTCTGCCAACTAGCCAATTTTGCTACTTTCGGATTCGTGACCCGCGGGTCAGCATCTCGGGCCCTTTTTCGGCAGTTTGGACAGATTATGCTCGCCTTCCCCATACACCACTTCCAGGCCTCGGCAGAGGCACCGACGCGTGAAGCGTATCGGGGGCCCTCCCCGAGC